TGAATACATTGAAAAAGCAAAGAAATTAAGAAAAGAAAGAAAGAAAAAAAAAAAAGAAAGAAAAGAAAGAAAAAAAAAAAAAGAAAGGAAGGAAAGGAAAAAGGAGGAAAAAAGAAAAAAAAATTAGAATAAAAGAAAAAAAAAAAGGAAAAAAAGGAAGGAAGGAAGGAAAAAAGTTAAAAAAAAAAAAAGAAAGAAAAAAAGGAAAAAAGGAAGGAAGGAAGGAAGGAAGGAAAAAAAAAAAAAAAGAAAGGAATAAAGAAAAAAAAAAATTTAAAATAAAGGAATAAAGAAAGAAAGAAAGAAAAAAAAAAGAAAAAGAAAGAAAGAAAAGAAAGGAAGGAAGAAAAGGAAAGAGATAAGGAAATTTTATATAAAGAAGAAAGAAAGAAAAAAAAAAAGAAAATAAAAGAAAGAAAAAAAGAAAGAAAAATTGTTGAAAAAAAAAAATGTTAAAAAAAAGAAAAAAAGAAAAAAAATTAAAATAAATTAAAAGGAAAGGAAGAAAGGAAGAAAAGAAAAAAAAGAAAAAAGAAAAAAAAAAAAAAAAAACGAAAAAAAAATAAATACTGAAAAAAAAAAAAATTTGAATAAAGAAAAAGAAAGAAATCTAAGTGGTTGAGAAACTAAAAGAAAAAAAAAATTGATAAAAATAAAATTTAAATAGAAACTAAGAAACAAAAGAAAGAAAGAAAGAAAAAATGCGTGTAAAAAAAGAAAGGAAAAGGAATGAAATGAAAATTTAAAAAAAAACAGGTGGTTGAAAAAGAATGAAAGAAAGAAATAAACAGAAGAAAAAAAGAAGTGGTTGGAAAGGAAAAGAAAGAAAGACTGAAAGATTAAGAAACGAAGAAAGACAAAAAGAACGAAATGAAGGAGGACAGAAAATAAAAAAAAAGAATGAAAGAAAGAAGAAAAGAATGAAGGAAAAATAGAAAAAAATTTAGTGGTGGTAATAAAAAAAAAAGAAAGAATTTTTGAAAATAAAGAAAATTACGAAAGAATGAAAGAAAGAAAGAATAAAGGAAGAAAAAAAAATAGAAAAAAAACGATTTGCTGGAAAAAGACAGAAACAAATAAATAAATAAACGAGGAACGGAAAAAATAAAATAGAAGTAAAACGAATGTTTGGAAAGAAAGAAAGAAAGAAAGAAAGAAAGAAAGAAAGAAAGAAAGAAAAGAAAAAAAAAAAAGATTGTTGGAAAAGAAAATAAGGAAGGAAGGGAAGGAAGGATGAAAAAAAGAAAAAAAAATTTTTTTAAAAGAAAGAAAGAAAAATTGAAAGAAACGAAAAAAAGAGAGAAAAAAGAAAGAAAGAAGGATAGAAAATGAAAAAAAGAATGAAAGAAAGAAGAAAAGAAAGAAGGACAATAAAAGAAAACGACTGGTTCGAAATGGAAAGAAAGAAATACGGAAAGAAAATAAAGAAAATGACGAAAGAAAGAAAGAAAGAAAGAAAGAAAGAAAGAATAGATAAATAAAGAAAAATAGAAGAAAAACGAGTTGCTGGAAATGGAAAGAAAGACAGAACTAAATGAATAAATAAACGAGGAAAGGAAAAAAGGAAATAGAAGAAAAACGAATGTTTGAAAAGAAAGAAAGAAAGAAATGAAAGAAAAATAATTAGAAAGAAAGAAAAAATAATACAATAAAGAAATAAGGTAGGAATGAAAGAAATATTATTGAGTATATTTATTTTTCATCATCTTTTCTTATTGCTCTTGAACTAATATTAAGAAAGAATATTATCCTGTCAATAAATTCGGATTCAAATTCAGCTATTAACAGGCTACAGCCGTATTTTGGGATACACAGACATTGTCTAAACATTGCCCTGAGTCTTTCAAAATATAATATATATATATATATATATATATATATATATATATATATATATATATATATATATATATATATATATAAATAACTAGACTCGTTTTGAAAAACCCTCGAATTTTTGATTTGTTAATCAAATCAATTTCGAAAAAAAAGGTTTTAAAAAAAAAGAAAGAGCTACAAACATAAACTTCTGCCGACAAAAAATCGCACAAATGCAGGTCTGAAGCCCAAAGAAAAAAACCCCGATACGAGTAACAACTAACTAACAAAAAGAGCTCAATACAACCGTAGAGCAGACCTAGATACACCTAGTGAGCCAGACAAACCTACCTAGGTTTCTAAACATCGTCCTAAACTGACGATCGTTTAGGTGAAACCTAGGTAGGTTTGTCTAAATATATTATATATATATATATATATATATATATATATATATATATATATATATATATACATTTTTTAAAATGGATATTCATATTTGAGCATATACTATTTTTATATATATATACAAATTGATTGTATTTACCAAAATATTATCGACTTGTTCTGGAAATAACATTTTTATAAAAACAATATATAAATAATTATATTGATCGATATCAAGCGATAGAGCATTAAAATTAACATAAATAAATATTTTTTCACTTATCTTATGGCAGTCTCTATAATTAGATTTACGGAATTGCATCCGCTCTTCAGGAGATACGATGGTAAATTGAATTTATTTTTCGTAAACCTATTTTTCATTAAATACGGTATTTTATGATGTTAATTTATTTGAACTTTTTTTTTTTACTAGATGCTAGAAACTTAAGCAATTTCGCTATTTATTTGTTTTTGGTATTTGGGTTATGGATAACGAGTGAGCATGATATAGAGCTAGCTAGTGAGATAAAGAGATATAAATGAAGACAGGTAGATATGAACAGACTGAGATCTATAGATAGATAGATAGATAGATAGATAGATAGATAGATAGATAGATAGATATGAACAGAATGAGATAGATAGATAGATAGATAGATAGATATGAACAGACTGAGATAGATAGATAGATAGATAGATAGATAGATAGATAGATAGATATGAACAGAATGAGATTAGATAGATAGATAGATAGATAGATAGATAGATGATAGATAGATATGAACAAGATAGATAGATAGATAGATAGATAGATAGATAGATAGATAGATAGATAGATAGATAGATATGAACAGACTGAGATAGATAGATAGATAGATAGATTAATAGATAGATAGATAGATAGATATGAACAGACTGAGATAGATAGATAGATAGATATGAACAGACTGAAATAGATAGATAGATAGACAGATAGATAGATAGATAGATAGATATGAACAGAATGAGATAGATAGATAGATAGATCGATATGAACAGACTGAGATAGATAGATAGATAGATAGATAGATAGATAGATAGATAGATATGAACAGACCGAGATAGATAGATAGATAGATAGATAGATAGATAGATATGAACAGACTGAGATACATAGATACATAGGTCGATAGATATGAACAGATTGAGATATATAGATAGATAGATAGATAGATAGATAGATAGATAGATAGATAGATAGATGAGGTTCGAACTCGCTCACAAATATTTGCAAGCATAGCTAATCACATCAGCAGGCCAGGTGCCCACGAATTTGACTTACGTAGGTAAATGGGTATGTAATTTTGACCCTGTGGGTCAGGGCAGCTCCTCTGCTCAGTCCTGTTTGACGAAAATCACGTAGGAGTGTCACAAGGTGAAAAGTCGACGCACAGACTCCTAACCATATGTTTTCTCGTCAGGACGTAATCGTTGCCAAAGTAATGCTTGTCATTTTCCAACTGGCCGTGAATAAATATATATATATATATATATATAAAAAAATTAAAAACAAAAATAAAATTAAAAAACAAACAAACATCTGCTTGTGATGTTGAGAGTGACGTCTTCGTGACGTAATTAAAACAACTGCATTTGGAAATAGCACAGCCTGGGCGTATTGTCGATTTCACATGTGCACGAATGCAGTTTCCTCCTACTTTGCATCTGCTTTAAAAAGAGCGATATATGCCGAATATCGTCGAGTTAAAATAGCCTCGACTTGGGGTAATGATAATTAAGTTGACCTCGAATATCATTGTCATAGACGTGAGTTTAATACTGACCGGGTGACCCAGGTCTATGGAAGATTAAGTTGAATCTTGTTAGCTAATATAATTGTAATTACGTTGGGGTAGTGGATTGCGGCTGAATTTAAGGAATCAGTAGAGCCGAGTTCGAATTCCAGTCGAATCCATAACATTCACTTACGTGCTAATACCCCTTCTTCTCTCCTCAGCTATGGGTAAATAGCAGGTCAGACCGGGTTCTATAGCCTTTGTTGACAACTGGTCTACCGCAGAAAGAAATGGCAACCTACTGCAGGAAAAAGTTGCATCGTCAGTCATACATTGCAAAATACATGCTCCTACTGAATTGAGCTTTGTTTCGTTTACACCATTGATTAAAAAATAGTTATTTGCACATCTATATGTGTACGTAATCGCTCATATATATATGGTATCTTTTTATTTAGATCATTTCATATATTATTTATCTATCTATCTATCAATCTATCTATCTAATATCTATCTCAGACTGCTCATATCTATCTATCTCAGACTGATATATCTCTATCTATATCTATAGATATATATAATTATAATTAAGAAAAAAACAAGGATCATAAAATTCATCGATTGATTTGTAGGTTAATGCAACTTTTAAAATTTTGTTTGCGAAAGGATTTCGCCATTTTATACCATTCTTTTACTAATTTCTATATATATATATATATATATATATATATATATATATATATATATATATATATATATATATATATATAAAAATATTATAAAAATTAAAATCTTCAGACGCACTGGGTCGTAGATTAATATTCTTTCGTTTTTATTGTTATTTCATTTAGATTCCTCAAATCTTATGGGTGCGTAACTTAATACGCAGCCCGGGTCGTTGGCGTCCTGGCCACGAAGGCAAGGGGCCTGCGTACCGACTGTTCAGTGCCGACCCCTTGATATATATATATATATATATATATATATATATACAGGGTGCGATGGACAAATTGTCAGATA